CTACCATCAAGACTGCGATAGGTGAAACACCCTTCAACCTCATGTATGGTACAGAGGCGGTTATCCCAGCAGAGATCGTTGTGCCAATGTTGCGACTCGAGGTTTACGACGGGGAAGCAAATGATGACGAGCTCCGCATCAGCCTGGACCTAATAGAAGAGGTACTGGACTTGGCCTACATTCGGATAGCAGCCTACCAACAGAGAGTAGCTTGGTACTATAACGCCCGGGTGAGGAAACGACAGTTTCGTGTCGGCAACCTATTCCTCTGGAAGGTTATGGTACCAAAGCCCTACGTGGGTAAGCTCAGACCGAATTGGGAAGGTCCATACCATGTAAAGATGGGTGTTTGGGGAAGGCACGTATGAGCTTGAGACCATGGAAGGGAAGGAAGTACCTCGAGCCTGGAATGTCAACAACCTAAGAAGGTACTACCTATGAGCTCACGACTCTAGAGCAACTGTTAATTTGCCAAGTCCACAAGACTACCGAGCTAGAGAGAGGACAGTAAGTCACTCCCAGAGCCTAAGGGCTACGAGGCCGAGTTATAAAAGACCTACGCACAATAAGTCCTAGTCGCCTCTTCGGCATAGGCACAACAACTCTTAGTCGCTTCTTCAGCATAGGCGCACTTCAGCGTGCAATAATACCGGGTTATTCCTACTTGGAGCCTAGCTCGTTAGCTCGGCACTTCGGGATAATCAATACTTAGAAAAATTCTGCACACATAAGATTTCTTGAACTACTGCATTTCACTAAGGAAATTTCGATGTCCATGGCAAAAAAAAAAAAGAAGAGAAAGAGAGGAAAGTAGGGAAAGTAATTGCTACTCCAACTGAGCTCGGAGGCTCAGGACATACATATATGTACAGGGGGGTCCAAGAAAAGAGGCAAGTGAAGTCAAATGTCGGGCTTCTCGCCTTCAGAATCTCCTCCCGCAGGCAGATTGGTCTTCATTTGGTCCTTCTCAGCATCACCTCGGCCTCCCTCCTCTGCCGATCCCACTTCGGGGAGGTCGTCATCACTCTCCCCCTCTCTGAAATCGGGTTCCTCGTCGGCCTCCTTCGCCATTTCGGGGGTAACGGAAGACATAGAGATGATGCCGAGGTTGAGCTCGGGAAACTTTTATCGCACCAGCCACCTACATAGTTTGAAGCCCGAACAATACGAACCGGAGCCATACTCGACCTGGAGATCGTGGAACTCTAGGGACTGCTTAAAATCCTTGATGGCCCAATCTCGCTCCTAAGTCCTCGCCTCCTGGATCGCAATCTCGAAGATCTCGGTGTGCTCCTTGATCATTGCCTCGAGGTTCTCATTCTCCCCTTGGAGGGCTCCCTTCTCTTTCAAGAGGGTTTCCTTCTCCCTTAGGAGGACATCCTTCTCCCCTTTGAGCTTCTTCTTCTCCTTCGTCAGCAGCAGAATCAGCTCTTCCTAGCACCGAGCGCCTTTCTTTGTCCTAAGGATCTCGCCCCAGGCTAGGTCTAGCTCGCGATGAAGCTTCTGATATTTCTCTTCAGCCTCTCGAGCTCTCTTCAAGCGCACCTCGGATTGATAAACTAGCGAATGAATGGTAGAATTCACCTATAAAAGAAAAGGAATGAAGTATGAGTAGTACCGAAGAGCAACTAAGAGAACAGATTAAGGGGCAGGCCACTTACCACCATGCAGTAACTAGTTGCCCTCCCCCTGAGCTGACTTGTCGACATCTCGGCCCACTCCGCGACCTCCACAGGGTATACCGCATCCCTTCTTTTGAGGAGCCCGAGTCTCGGGCTCATTATGCTCTCCTTCCTAGCAGAATCTTCCTTCGTCAAGGTGAGCTGGGGCTCAGACACTAAGGCACCTTCTAGCTAGCAAGGTGGAGTACCCTCGCCTTGGTCCTCCTCCACCAAGTTGACAACTGGAGGATGGGGACGTACGGCCTCCCTAGGAAGCTCGGTAGTGGTGGGCACGAGCACCGGCATGGTAGCTGCACGCTCGGCGGGCATCGAAGGGGTGGCATCCTCACAATGGGGCCTCTTCGAGGCCTTTCTCTTCTTCCCCTTCTAGACACTTTTGAGTAGGTTAGCAACATCAACACCTGTCATGGCTCCTACAAAGAAAGCAAGACCAGTCAGTCCTAAACTGAAGACAAAACGAAAGAAAAGAACGTGAGTGTTTGTGCCAAGGTAGAGGCCTACCAGGAGGGCTCAGCCCAGCTCACACAAGTTTTTTCCTCTGCCAGAAAATCTTCCATCTTCAGGCTGAGGTCCCTCTAGGACTAAATGACCGCTCTAGTCTCTGCATCCAGTTTAACCCCAAGGTCTTGAATGGCCACCCGTCAGTGAGTTGGGAACAGCCACCCCTCAGGATTCCAAACAACAAAGTATTGCCTCTTCCAAGCCGACACCTTGTTCGGGCTACCGAGTAGAATCTTGTACCCGGGGCGAGGTGAGATGTAGTAATTGTGTTGGGTGTCACCAAGGAGGCAGGGGGAATTATTCTTAATAGAACAAATAGAACTAAAGACATCGAGAGAGAGATCGGTCGTACGCGTGGAAGAGCGAGATGGTACAAACAATGGTACGGATAGAGTTCGGGTAAAGCTGATTGATGGTGATGTTAAAAACCTTAATAATTTCTACGATAAAAGGGTGGAGGGGGAAGCGCATCCCGGCCACAAGCTGCTCCTTGAAAATTGCGACCTCATGATGATCGTGATCCCAAGGATACCGGCCTGGGGGAATACTAAAGTCAAGGTCATCGGGAAGCCGGTAGCGAGCTATTAAAGAAAGAAGTCTATCCGAAGTCATCGTGGAAAGACCGAAGTTGTCTGGGTCCCAACCTCTGTAAGAGGTAGAGACCCCCTCCCCGGAGGTTTGCCGCTCCTCCTGAGGTTCGAGCTCCTCAAATCGAGCTGGCACCTCTTTGGGTAAGGGCATTCCCTTAGAATGGTTTTACAAAAGAACTTTCCGACGAGGAGCTGGCCTCGCCAATGGGTGCTAAGGTTCGTACCTCGGCACCCACAGACTTGCTAGACCCACTAAGGAGCCCATCTAAATTAAGGCTAGACATGCTGGGAAAAGAAAAAGAGGACAACAAAGCAAGGGAAGACAAACTCACTAAAGAAGGAGGGACGACCTCGAACACAAAGGAAGAAAACACCGAGGTGAAAGACTTGAACGTGATCTCAAAGGGCTCAATCACTTGGTTTATGGCGAGGAAAATGGGTCCTTCAGCCCCTATTTATAAGCCACTGCATTCGACGATCAATAGTTGTGATCCACGCAATCTAACGGCTCCCATGAAAAATGGATGCATGCTACCCGATGATGAAATCGATTGAGCGTGTTTTTTGACATCCGCGGAGTTTATAAACAGCGTGACGTCTACGCGTAACCATAACGCGATCTGAGTCGTTTCTTGGTCGAGCCGAGCGGTCCTGCAGAATGAACCGAAGTACCGCCCTCCGTACCATTTGGTCATTGTGCCAAATCCACCTGGGCTTGTCGTGAACTCCCTGCACCGGGTCGAGACCCCTGGCACGGGGAGGGGGCAATTGATGAAGGGTGATTTGGCCCGACCTAATAAGGAAGTAACACGTGGATGCGACCTGCCAACAGGATGACAACTCAGCAAGGAGAGCCTTGTTAGCAGATCGAGAGCTCGGGTGGTCATTCAGCTCGGAACCGAGAGCCACTTCGTCACCCATGTACCAGGGTGACACGTGTTCGATTCTAGACGCTTCCCAATAGAGTCTGAACCCCTCGGGATCATGCCGCAAAATCGAAGGCCTTATCCTCATCCCACCCGGAAGGTAGTGATAGACTTCATTGACTAGTACGTTACCTCCCTTCCAGGGCAGACGGATCCTAACCACACGAGCCAAGGATCCCGGAGTTGTTTCATGAGTCCCACGACAGCTCAGCTATATAAGGACTTCAAACCCCAAGATCAAGGTACACGCAATTATTTACTCACTAGTACACTTATCATTCAACTTTCAGCTCACAATACTAACTTAAGCATTAGAGCAAGCTCAGTGGGTTAGCCACCCCAGGCTCTCTGAGCTTCACTGTTTTGCAAACCGAACCAACTCACCACGCAGCTAAATTCCAGATCATCCTCCAACTAAAAACATCCAGATCGTGCTCCATCAATAATATTGCTCACTACTTACGTGACAGAAGCATTTTTTATGAAAAACGGGTTTTAAAAGCATAGAAATTTTTTCTTAAAAATCAGTCCCAAAAAGCGCCCACGCTTCCGAACACCATGTAGTTTAATATAATTTCAACACTTTGCCTTGGTTATCTTTCAAAGTGTGAGTAGGGTGTAGGGTGCATGAATAAATACTTGTCACATGCTAAATCTCATATCTACCAATTTATATAAAGGCTTCACAGATCTATCAAATTAGAAGGTACAATTATATGAAAACTGAGGAATTTCACTTAAACACCCTTAAAAAAAAGTTCAATATTCTTTGAAAGAAAAAATAAAAGAATATTTACTATGTATTCTTCGTGGTTCTTGGGAGTTGAAATATTTTGCCAACAAAACAGCGTTCCGGCCCTCTACCGACTTCATCTAACGCCACATATCTCACCACAAGACGGGAGATGTGCGGTGTAAGATGATGTTGGTAGAGCTGTCTCATTTGGCCTGGTGGAGACAAAATCATGCACACGGCATTGGGAAATCAATCATGCAGTGATGTGGAAGTTGCTACCAACAAAATGCTCCCAAAACCATCCCAACAATCCAATGCAGTCGTGCATTGGTTCAAACGGTTGGGACAGTGTTGGGAGCAGAAGGTTCTATTGCAAATTGATTGGCAATTGTTCTGGTAATTTACCTTACCTATAAGAACCGAAGTTTTTTAAAACTATGGAAACTAATATGCCTGGAAAATTAGGGAAAAAAATTCATTTTAATTAAGACCCAATGACCAGATTCTAAAATTGAATTCAGTTAAGAAATTAAACCTAAGAAGTCTGATTAATTTTCTTAATTACCTGTCCAAACTTTGTATTTGGAAGCTTAGCTCTGAGAGATGCTTCAAGTTCCTTCCCCATGGGTGCTCCGCCTGTAATCACCAACCGGATCGACGACAGATTGAAATTATCGAAATCTGGGCTCTTGATGAGCTGCAAAATGATCGGAGGCACTAACGATGCAACCGACACTTTATATTTCTGAACCAGTTCCATGAATGCCACAACCTCAAATTTTTGCATGATCAGAACTGCAGCGCCGACTCGTAGTCCAGCGAGCAACACCGAGACGAGCGAGAAGATGTGAAACATAGGCAACACACATAACGTAACGTCGTCCCCTCTGTGGTAATACGAGTGAGGATTCTCTCCGTCAACCTGTTGAGCAATGCATGTGGTGATGCTTCTGTGAGTCAGCATCACTCCTTTGGGCAACCCGGTTGTTCCCGACGAGTAGAGCAGTGCCACCACATCATCCGGGCAGACTTCTGTAACTGGTAAAGCAGACTCGTCGGACTCAGTCAACTGGGTGAAATGCAGACAACCATCATGCGGCGAGTCGATTGTCATGATCTTAATGTCGTTCTCCGGGGCGAAGGTCCTCACTTTGTCAACGTAACAAGCTTGTGTAATTATAAGCCTTGTTTTGGAGTCTCTAGCTTGCTTTAAGATCTCCGCCGGTGTATAAAAAGGGTTGGCGGTGGTGGTGGTAGCGCCGCGATGTACGGCGCCGAGGAAGGCAAAAACGAACTCCGGCGAGTTGCGCAGGAGGACCATGATTACTTGACCTTGTTGAATACCGAGTCTGTGAAGACCAGCTGCAACTTTTCTTGAAATGAGCTCGACTTCTGCGTAACTGTAAATTTCGCCGGTGGTGCCGTTTATCAGACATGGCAGCGAGCTGAATTCCGATATGTTCTGGAAGCAATAGGTGAGTAGAGGGAGATGGTTGTGGATGTGAATGTCAGGAAGCTTTGATCTGTAAATGAAATCTTGTTGCACTGTTCCCATATCTGAGAGTGAGAATGAAAGATAGAATGAATGAATATTGATTTTTATTTTGAGGCACCTATTGCCAATATATATCATGTTGTTTGGCAGAAGGAAGCTCTCCACCTACCCCCGAATGCGATTGACAACACTTAGCATTTTTCACCAAGAAAGGCTAAATGCCTTAATAATGTCTTAAGCAATTAATAATTGATGCTGCTGGCACGCACTCTGTAGGTGTAGGTACTGGATGATCTGCATATCCCTAAAAAGAGACATGAAAGGAATCTACTTACAACCATAATCATGTCAAAAAGTTAAAGAGAGATGATTGTAATTAGAGGAGATTTCAGACTTTCAGCAATCTACCACAAAACATGTCCAAAAAAAAGTCAACGGTAACATGAAGGCAATTTCAATTTCTATAAATGGAAACGTAGAAATTAAATAAACAATAAGTATTACAAGATATATTATAAATCAGCCAATGGGGTTGCTTTTCTAAGGGATTATGCCCCTACTTTATAACTTTATTTTAGTCCAACTGTTTGCCTTAGGGCTTTAAGAAAAGAAAAATGGCAAATTAATTTATATATTCACATTTGACAGATTATAAAAGAAGTAATTGAAAAGGAAAAAAAAAAAAATTAAGTGAATGAAATGAAATACATATTGATTGAAATGACAATGTGCCAGCTGGCTCAGTTGGTAAAGTGCAACCAATATGCCATTGAAATGACAGCCTGACCGTGACGTTATTATCATCAGTTGGCAATTGAGGGTCCTACAAACGCCCCATATGAACATTTCACCCTGCAACCATTGCATTGGGAATATCTCCGAGAGATGTTTTCGATATACGGGTCACAGGAGGCGGTGTGGTAGGTGAGCGTTTTTTCGTAAAGGGTATAATATAAAAACCTTTCTTTTAGTTTAATTTTAGTAAAATTTTTCCTTCTATTTTCTAAAAAATCGACAAAAACCTTTCTTCCAACGTTAAATCGATGATATTTTTTTAAAATGTCTATTTTACCCCTCCGGTGCGACGCATGGCACATCTACGAGTTCTCTCACTGCGGCAGTGATCCTTTCGTTTCTAGTTCCAGTCGGTTCAATCATTTCTCCGGCAAAATCCCGGCATCACTTGAGAGAATGCCGGTGACTGTAAACTTCGATCGAGGCATAACAACCTCACCAGAGAAATCTCTCAGACTGCAACTTTTGCAAATCAAGGCCCGACCGCATTCCTCGACAATCCCTCCTGTGGATTTCCTCGACAAATCAACGCCACCACTGGTTTTCTGTTGCAACTGCGTCGGCGCTAGAGGCTGTGTTGGTCTTCGGAAGCCACTGGGACTTCCATGATCTGATCTCTTGTCGTCGGAGACAATCCGATTCTAGTATTCGCCAACAACAACTGTAGAATTATTGTAGACAGTTGATGGAATTGTTGTAGCAGTAATAGTCGTCGGAAGAGGAGGGGGAGACGACAAAGCAGCAAAGCCCTCATCTTGCTTCTGCATATTGATGGTCATTTGTGAGAAATGATCCTCTAATCCAACCTTCTGGTCCTGGAATGGAGCCCCATAATCCTCCACATATACCCGAATTGGAGGCAAATTTAACACAGAAGGAGAAGAGGACATCGACCCAAAAGACGAATTCGTCTCTAACATCGGTGAATCAGGAACGGATTGAACACCTTGCCCAGGTTTAACCTGTTTGTTACCACCCAATGCTTATATTGGAGCCTCCACATCAACAGAAGAATCGACATGAGCACCATCCAGACCGAGCAAGCAATTAACCGAAGTAGAATCGGATGAAAGTCCGATCGGAAGAATCCCAGCACCATTGAGGGCTTCGATGAACCAGTTCTCCGAATTAGAGTCATTGAGTAGTGACCCAATCGATGAAGCCGAATCGGGCTTCGAAGGGAAAAGAAACAACGCAGGCGAGAGGGCTCCAGGGATGAAGCTGAAGTGAGATCGTACTCTTCGATCATATTCTCGACATCTTCATCGGTAGTGACGGAGATGAGGGAGTCGAGGTCCTCGTTGGGGAGTTGTACTTGAGGGTGAAGGAGCAGCCATTGAGGAGACTGCGAGAGAGGCTAGCAGAGAAGTCGGCGAGAGAAGAGTGGCGGTCCACGACGACAATACGGGTATCTCCACCGAGGTAGCAAAGAGACTTGTCGTGAGGGCGTGGAACAATGTGACCACCGTTGCTGCACATGAGGCGCAGTTTAGCATTGGGAACCTGTGGGATAGGCTCATCCCAGCTGTCTGCGTTGCTGGAACGAGGAGAGGAGTCGACAGAGTCAGAGTAACTGATGGTGCCGAGGAAATCCACGCAAGGAGGAATATCTCCAAAGAGGCGGTTGTTTGAAAGGTTGAAACGATTAAGCTTCAAGTTCTGCAATTCAAGTGGGATTTCAGCAGAGAAAAGATTACCCCCGGTGATGTCCCAAGTTCCTCTAGAATTTCACCGGCTAGTCTATTGGAGAGGTTCAGTTCATTGAGCTTCTTCATTGACCGGATTCCTAATGGAAGCTGACCTGAGAACTGGTTATTGTAAAGATCAAGTGTGGTGAGTTCAGTAAGATGCATCAGTGTTGCAGGTAGCGGACTGTTCAGCTGGTTATCACTAGAACTCAATGAGATTATTCAACGATCCAACTTCTTCTGGATTATTGACGGAAGAGAGGTTTTTGTCCATTATTTTGAAAATAGAAGGGAGGATCTTGCTAAAGTTAAACTATAGGGGAGGTTTTTACTATTATTAGAAACTTCAAGAAAGGTTTTTATATTTTGCCCTTTCATAAAAAAAGGTAGATAGAATACAAGTAGAAAAAAAGAAAAAAGTATATTACAGTTCATCGTAGAATTCTTAATTATATTGTAGACCTACAAAAATTTAGAATGTCAAATACTTTCACCTTATACACTAATGCCCGCCCATGAATTGGTATCAATTCTGAGCTGGTACCTACCCCAACTATACATTGGACCTAAAAAATCTGATGCGGGACTGACCTATCATTATCCAAAAAAAAAACAGACAATTTTGAGGAAGCATTTGGAAAAAGAAGGGAATGTATTCGAAGGGGCTCAAACTGATTCCATTTCGATTGTGTTTGGTTTGAAGGAAAAAGTAGAGAAAGGAAGGGAAATGCAGAAAAACCTATACAAGATTTGTAAAGGTTCTCCTTTTTCTTTCAAACTAATCATAGCCGTGTAGGATGGAATTGCCACCTAAGTTATAACATAGTAAATCTGACATTTTTCAAGTAATTCGTAGGTTAATAGGGGACATAGATTGTTTGTGGATTCGGGGATTAAGGTAAGATTAAGGATTAAAATATTGAAATGGTCATCACATGAGTATCGATGTATTCAGATACATTGGAATACATTGATTTGTTTAGAAGGTTTAAACCATCTCATCGTCTTTTCCAACCCCATGATCATTATAATATAAAAAATTAAAAAAAATGAATTGAGTATCCACTATTGATATACACCAATATCCTTGTGTTTGGTATCAAGTGTATCAATATTTTAATCCTTATGTAAGATATGTGAAAGGATTAGGCACCTCATACCCTAAAAATAGCAATCTAACATGCCCCTACTGAACTACGACTCGCCTTACCTTAGATATGTTTTTTTTTTTCAATTCTTTTCTTTTTTGTTCTGTTCTTTTACTTTTGAATAAGTTTGGAGTGGGTTTAGGGGAAACCTAAAACTTTGGTGACAAGGAACAGGCCCCAAACCCACCCCAATAGATAATATCTTATGGTATGTGTATAATATAATATTTTATATATTTTTTTTAATTTTATATATAAATATTATAATATGACACTTATAAGACATATTATATATAACATTTTATACTATATAATGTATAAAATATATTTTATTCACATTATATAACATATTATAATGTGTATAATATGTTTTTTTCTTTTTTTTTAAAGGTTTTTAAGTAGGATGGGCCTGGCAGGGCGGAGCAAATTCAAGGATCCTTGTTCCCCATGGGGATTGGGATGGGGCTAAGATTTTTAGCCCTATTGCGGTACAGGGAAGGGATGGGGGTGGTATGTGTTAAGGGTCAAGGACGGGAATGAAGAGTGACCTAGGTGAAGTACAAAACATGCTTATCACGAGCAGGGGTATAATTTAGTCAAATCGGGCTAAGTATCAAGCTGATCGAGCTCAAACTTGACTCAAAAACGCAAAGCTCAAAACTCAATTGTAGCTCAATCGAGTTTCATGTATTTGGCTTGAACTTGATTCGAGTTGATACTCATGAACTATTTGAGTTCAACTTAAGCCTAAATAAATATTAAAAATTATAATTAAATTAATATATTTAAAATAAAAATATAAAAAAAATTAAAGACAAATTATTAAATTAAATATTATAAATACTATAAATAATAATATATTTATGAAAATCAGTATTTAATAAATTTATTTATATTAGAAATAAGTTTATGTAAAATTAATATTTAATTATACTATAAATACAAAACGTATTTAAAAATATTATATTAATATGAACTCGATTAAGTATTGCAAAGTTCAAATTCGGTTCAACCAACTATTCAATTCGAATCAAACTCAACTCAAACTTTGAGCAAGTTTAAGTATTCAGTGAGCCAAGCCCAAATAACTTATGAATAGGTTCGGCTTGCTTACACCCTAGGTTCACGAATATAAATAAGAGACACTTGCATGTTTGGGGGCACTCGAAATCTTCTACCCGCATCCATACTTGGGAATCACCATCGCCATGTATTGGGAACATCTCCCATGAATGATAAAAGGAAGATATTCCCATCCGAGCCCGTTTGGGGGAGTGAGACAGAACTATGACCTATTTAAACATATTAAAAGATGTACATGACGATTGAAGAATGTTGAAAACTGGGTCTGATTAAAATACCATATAACTGATTCACTGAACTAACCACTCATATCATCCATCATATGACTAGGCAATGAAAAGAGAGAAATAAATATGCGAATTAATGTATCAAATGTTTACTCTATTTGATTACAAATGAGAAGGCCAAGATAAAGGATGACGTTGGAGAAAGAAAACAATGATGCCATAGAAAAAGAAAAAAGTCGGGATCTATTTAACTAACAAAGGGCCTGCCACTTATATATAAAAGG